TCTCTCTCTCTCTCTCTCTCTCTCTCTCGCTATGTATCGGCATGCGTATAGCTGCACCTTTTTCTTCGCATTCTTCCAAATTGGAATCGACACGACTTTATCTTTGATATGTTTATGCACCTTTATCGTTTGCACGGCGGTAGCTCGTATGTACAAGCAAATCGTTCCGTATCGGTGCGTTATTCTCTTCAATAATACTATCCTTATTATTTTCCGCAATATCGATTTTACTCTTTCCTTTGTTACTTGTTACAAACGCAGTAGAGTATCAAATGTGTAATCCGTGCGATAATATACAAGTTTTACTTTCTCCGAATGACAAAGTACGCGTCGGGAAACTGTTCAAAACATCGTGCGATTTTTATATTTGCATCGCAAACACATGTGAATGCCTTGAAAAACTGTAAAGAGAACTGAGAGAAAGAAGAACCTCGGGAAAGGCATAAGGCGCCGACGGAACAACTTTAAGGCAAGTAATAATTTATTTATTATCTATTAGTTGCGTAAAATATTACATGTAAAATATTGTGTAATGTAACGCACATGGAAACTTTGAAATATTCAGTAAAAGATTTGCAATTTTTAATATTTATAGTTATTAGATATAAATATATAATTCTTTTATTAAATATTTGCATAAAAATGTTATGTAAAAGTTTAATGTGCATTATAATTATTTCTCAAATCATTATTTTAAATACTTTAAATAATTCGAATGTACTTTGAATGTTACAGATCAACTTGTGAACAACTCCGCTGTTACGCATCGTGCTGGTAAGTTAATCCAATCCTATTTATTTTTATTAATTTTTAATATCATTAAGAAAATAGATTTCAAAATAATGTAACATATACAAGATGTCTCAGACTAATTGTATCACTAATTGTATCACTATTTGTTAGCAAATTTCTCATATAGTAAGGATATAAAAATCAATATGTGATGTATACTTCAGCTCGTGAATCTTTGACAATTTGATTCGTCAACATTAAATATTTTGCATTTATAAATTACTATAGCTTCGATATTTTGCTATACAGGTAATATGGTTGGTGTGATTGTATATATATTTGAAACGTTTAAAAAAATGGTATGTATAATATAAAAAATTTGACTTATGAAACTTTTCTCCATGAAACTGCCACTTAGCAAGTTTGAGTTGATATCCAGTCTTCAAAATTATGAAAAACACGTTCTGATTTATAATAAAACTTGAAAATTACGTACTAAAATTAACGTGTTATTACGAAATGGTACTCGGCTCATGAGACTCGTGAAGCGTTACAAACTTGGTATGCGCGAGCTCAATTACGCTGATGAATTACGCATACCCACCCTTTCGCTCGAGAACGAATTCATCTTCGTCATACTCGTTGGCACACGTATCTGCTAGATAAAGTGGTATTTTGCTAGGTAATACCGCTCGAAAATCTCTACGCTCGATAAAATAAGAGGTAAATGCACGTCGCGTTGTCTCAATTATACTCAATTAACACAATCATCTTTTTGCAATATTCCTACAATAGCTTGTTTAAGTAATAAAGCAAAAACCGCGCTATTTACAAATCTTTTCACATTTCTATAATTTTAATTGCATCTATTTTACTACTAACAATTTCGCGAATAAACTGGAAGCTTTGTGGCACACTCTTGGTGCAAACTTTCCACATTGCGTTCCTGCGTCAGTCGTATCGCATTGAATAATTTAAGGATAAACGCAACGGTAGAACATAATAGCGACCTCTCGATATTTTCTTGTAACTTTTTACGGGGCCTAATTGAAGCTGACGGCTCGGTCCTTTTAGACGGAACAAAAGGCACCGACGCCAGTCACAAGGCACAGAACTCATTACGAAGCAACGGCTGCAGTGGCAAAGTCTGATGAGAAATTCCGGAATGGAAACGATCGGCTTCGCTCCGGGAATCCCGCCGGCCGCGGAGAACCGTGGTAAATAAAAGCAAACGCGTGAGTGCAAGAAGAAATATACGGAATAGAGTTTTAGCACCGCTCCCGCTGGCAATACCCAATATCCGCTTCGACTCCGGGAGTGCAATGATGATCGCGCGCATCGTTGTCGCAGGATGCGTCGAGCTTCGCAACCGGCGAAAGCTTTACGAAATTTCGTAATGCGCTGCGTGAAAATTTCAACGCCGCCGCTGTTTCTACCGTAAAGAGCCAGGTGCGTCCAACTTTGTATTACGACTAAATGGAGAATTTCATACTGCCGAGGGGCCAAAGTGCATGGATCCGGCATGTTGCGTCTGCCCCTTCCTCCCCACCCCCCTTTGCCGCAAGCCCATTCTTTTCGCGCGAAAAAAATAGAAACATATTGAAAACTTTTTTTCGAAAACTGTGCAATAACCATGCATTAAGCCACAAGATAAATAAGATAATATTTTTTTTAATATGCCATCAATCATTAAGTTGTAAACCAACAACTTTCTGAAAGTAAAAGTTTATGTCGCATTATCAACATTTTGCGTTAGAGTAACTTTATATCATAGCAAAACGCAGTTTAAAAAAATAAAAACGACATCATCACTGTGTTTGCAAGTAAATAAAATCAGAAATCCGAAATACGCGCTACCAACGCAGTGTACAAAACAAATGTTCAAACTTCGCGTCAGTGCACGATTCTTTCTATTTTGGAACGCGATGGTATGAAATTTCTAGCAAAATGCGTGAGTGATTGGTACAGTGAATTTTAGAAGTACGCCAGGCGGAATATTTAATCATTAAAGTGGAATACACTAAAGAAAACAAACAAGAAGAATTTTCTGCATTTCATGTAAATAACTTTTTACTCTTGTTTTCTTTTAATTGGGGAAAAAAAAATTATTTTGCCAACGCAATGCTTTCCTTATTAAAAATTCAGTTCTCTAGTTACGAATTAATGAGTTGTAATGTACGTAAAACATAATGCAGTCCGTAAAAACATGCGGAAATAAAAAAGATAGCATTGGTGAATCAAGTGCATAATAACGCGATCAACCGACGTTTTCATAATATTGGTACAATTCGATGTTATTTCATTTAAAAATAATGTAGACAAGACAAATATTACTAATTGAATAATATTTATGCGGAAAGATATATGACATTTTTGCGAAACGTAGAAATCTGCACAATGTATTTAATCACTGCAATGGCAGACAAATATCAAAAATCGAAATCAATCATAGAATTGGAATTGGTAAATTATGAGATCCATAAACGTCGAATTGAGCGATTGTTGAAAAATTTTTCAAAGATAATATGTGCGCGCAAGCTAGAATATTATACGATCTAACTTGGACTATCAATTTCAGAGATGCCAGATCTGTGTCCGGCGTATGTATTTCTATTCCTAGCTTGCTTATCGAACGAATAGACAGTCCGGACAACAATAATGCGTCTAATAAAAGAAGTCCGTACGTAAGCGGAAATCAATTATTCGGAGTACTCGGAAATCCGGTACGTTTGGGCGTATCCATTTATGTTTTGCGATCGCCGGAGGGAGTTCGGACGAAGCGATATCTATTCCTATGAAATTCT